TAGCAAGCATGGACTCGCTAACTTTAATGCTAACGTTAGCTAGTTTTAGCCAGAAATACTTTGTTGAAGCACAAGATGACATTAACGTTCTGCTTGAGCAGATGAAAAGTGTAACTTAATGAGAGTATGACAACCAGAAAATGAACGTTTTCGTCTTCATTGTGATTGGGGTTGAATGCTTAGGGACATTTTGCTCTGTTTTGGATGGATTTAGGAAATGGAATAAAATAAATTGCATTGCCTATCCTCTCAGGATAACTGGAATTAGTGTTACAAGTACCCTAGGCACATAGTTTTTTCATTTTTGTAGCATAAACATCATTAAACCGATGCGAGCTTCGGATCTTCCAATGTTTCTCGATGGCGCTGAAACCTAAAGATGTCAGAGTTCCGCTCCCCGTGCAACTGATACTCGACTGCCATTGGCTCATCTGCGTTCGAGGGGAGGGGCTTACCGATAGGTCAATTGAGGATAAACAATCCAGGACTGTCCTACAGAAGAACAACAGCTTTGTCTAAGCTGTCAAAACATCAATGTCAGCTCTATTCTGATGAAATTTATCAAAGTGAAATCAGATAAGACTCTATACAAAAACACGCAGCTCCAGGAGATGGAGTCAGCATCATTCCCGAATGGTTCTCCCTTTCATCCTGAAGGTTATACTGACAGCTACCACAGAGGCCACACACAGAAGAACAGACAACCGCTTCTGACAGCTTGTCAGGGGTACAAAGCACAATAAAGGCAAACAAGTATTTATAGAGAAAGGAAAACCAGACGCTCATTTTTAATAGTACGCCTGAGAGCTCAAGCAGTACTGAATCAATACACAGGACAATACAACCACTGTATCCAGAAATCAGTTTAAATCATTGAAATTCGAAATGATGATAACTAGCAAAACAGAAAACAGTTGAAACTGAATTAATAAGATTTGTACTCCATCTTGAACGAGCTTCAACTTTCTTGGAGTGTTAAAGCCTCTCAATCATTTATGATGGTGCACTCTCTTTGTGGTTCCTTACAACAGTAAAATCCCATCATTTATATATAGTACATTACATTTACATTCAAACATTAGGGCTCAATGTTAGTGATGGCTCACTGATAATTGACAAAACTGGCCCTTGCCCTTAGGCCTGTCGCAATAATCAATATATCGACTTATCGCGCAATATATGTACATGACCTCAATAATTTTTGGTGACTCAATATATCGCCCATTATATTTACTTAAAAATTAATGTCACCATGTTTTGTGCATTCCACTTGCGCCTGTGTCTTTTGCA